GGCACCTGGTGGGCCGCAGAAGGACATACTGGGACTACGTGCCCTCTTCGGAGGCGTGCGTCCGACTCGAACATCTACTAATTACATCCATCTTGTAGTTCATCGTGTCCCGAACGGCACGGCTGGCAAGCGCCCGCCACGGAGCATATGCCATAAGATGTCTCGGCGCGCGCGTGGGCAACGCACACATACAGTAGGAGCCCGACCACAAGAAACCTTCCACAAGAAGCCCAACCCCGAGACCCCAGGACGTCCATTGGTCTTTGGTGTGGGAACGCCACGCTCTCCGTAGCAAAGCCATCCAACTCCAAGAAACCCAGGGCACCCTGGTGACAAGCAGGGTGCCTCTTGGCATGGGCCTCTACCGCAACAGCTATAGCATGCTTGGGTGGCGAGAACTCACTCGCTCGCGGCGTGACCCGTCCCCCTGAGCGGCTCGCTCCACCCTCCCCCTCTTTCGGCTGCCTCCTTGGCCTCTCCCCCCCTGCTGCGTGGTGGCACAACTCGCTCCGACGGCGTCCCCGTGCTCCAGCTCTTCCCGCCAGCGCAGCGGACCCCTGCCTCGCCGCAGACGCACCAAATGCTTGCGTGGTGCCGGCCTTGAGCCATCTGACTACCTGCCAGACCACCCCAACCCAACCCGAAGGCCCGAACTTGCCCCGAATTTCGGGTTCGGGGGGGGTACGAGTTCCATGTGCCCTTTCAGTGTTTCCCGACCCCCCCCCCAACTGGAGATGGAGGGAAGACTGAGGCCTTCGGGTTGGGCTGGGCTGTTTCGGCGGCTGGTGACCGCCGGACCCCCTCGGCAGCGCCCGACGGGAGGGCTCCAACAAAAACAGGGCGGCCCGCCCGCCGTCCCCCAGCGACCGCCCCGCGGGCGAGGGGAAGGGGAGGGCGGCGTGCGACCGCCGCAAGAGGGCCGCAGGGGGGGGGGCGGGGCGGGGCTGGTCGACGCTAAATCGACGCTAGATCGACGATAGATCGACGCTAATCAGCGCTAACCGACGCTACATCGGCGCTATCTCATCGACTCCCAGACGCTAATCGACGCTGATCGACTACAGAATCGATTCACCCCTAAATTGATGTTCCCCATCGGAGCTAAGACGAATACGCAGAATGCTCGTGCATCTGCTGAAGACTCTGAGTATGTGGACTCGGCGAGACCATCGGGCGTGTCCTCCTCCAGGCAGATCTGGGACGAGAAATGAAATACAAGCAAAACATGCCAATAAAATAATCAGAAACAGTAGAAATATCGTCCCAAGGCTATTCGTTGTGATATTCCTCCTGTAGACGGACATGCCCGGCGTAAGGGCAGGGGGCGGGGGGACGGCTTCTTGGAGGGAGGCTGCCAACCCCGCACTTCTACAGACAGAGGTCGCGCCCACGAAGAAGCGAGGGTGCTGCTAAGAAGCCGTCCTCCCTCCCGCTACAGTCGGGGCGTTGACCTAAGGACCCCTAAATAAGGAGCGAGGCCCCATGTTTCCATAAGTTAAACTTCGACTTCCTATCGAGAACATAAGGAAACCCTGAGGCAAGCTGTGAAACACTTAGGGAACGCGGAGCCCCTCCCCAACGAAAAGGGTTCCTCCTTCAAGGCCCCGACTGTACCCCCCTCTGCACGCGGCCGAGCAAAAGCGTTCGACGCCGCTCCCATCGTTCAGCCCCGAACGGATCGCGGCACCGATCGTCCAGGGTTGGACTCCCCCGGGTGCTGTGGCGCTGCCGTGTCCCTTGGTGCTTCCGCGTCGTGCTACAGTCGAGGCGTTGACCTAAGGAACCCTAAATAAGGAAAGAGGCCCCTTTTTTCCACAAATTAAACTTCGACTTCCTATCGAGAACATAAGGAACCCCTGAAGCAAGCTGTGAAACACTTAGGGAACACGGAGCCCCTCCCCAACGAAAAGGGTTCCTTCTGCAGAGCCCCGACTGTATCATATGCGGCATTCGGCATGGGAACGCAGTCGCTGGCGTCGACGGCGGGCCATCGCCACATGAGCCCACCGTGCAGAACTCCGAGGTTCTGAAGAAGCGCAGGGGGGTGGATCGTGCGGGGGCGTCCAGAATGCGCTCGAAGTAGAATGTCCTTCGCTGGGCGTGGGGGGTCGCGGTCGGGGGCGACCTCGATGCGCGTGGGGGGGGGGGGCCGTCGGGCGGAGCGACCTGGGAAGGGAACAACTCGGAGCAGTTAGGCACACACGCTGAGAAAAATGGAGAGAACAAATCAAAGGGGCCCTGGGACACACAACTAAATGCACACAGATAAAAGGATCCCCCATCTGTTTCCATATGTTTGGGACTTTCGTCTTCCCCCCCACTTCCCATATGTTCCCATCTGTTCTGGGAAATCGACGATTCATTGTGTCTGTGCGTTTCTGTCCCTCCCGAAAATGCAGGGGCACATCCTGCCATTGACTCCGAGCTTCACATGGGGTGCCTCGAAGCGCTGCGGGCCCCTGGGGAGACAAAGAACTGATCGCGGTGCACCCGTTTGATTTGATTTGACACGTCGCATCGCAAGGGCTAAGACCAGCAAGACGGAGCGGAAATCGCAAACAGCCCAAACCCAAGAGGGAGGGCGCCTGCGACTAACTCCCCACCTCACCAGTCGAAGCCGAACCACTGCCGTCCACAGCACGCGTAAAGTCAGCAAGAGGCAGGGGGGACCAGCTCAGGGGGATGAGCGTCGAGCTCGCGTGGGCGGTGCATCGTCGACGGCTCGGCGGCAGGGCCCCGATGGCACTCCTGGGCCCCTTGTCGGCGATCAAGGGGCGGTTGGGGCCGACGCATCCCACGTGAACTACTAGACGGTCGGAACCCCGCTCGAAGAAGAAAGAACGGCATGGCATATATATATATATATATATATACATATATACATATACACATATACATACACGTCTGACGGTCCGCGCAGACTTCTTGGATCTGCGCTGCACCCCCCCCCTGGAGCGCGGAGCGCGCCGGGGACAGCGCCAGAGGAGCCGCCAGGGGGATCCCAGCGCAAGTCCAAGAACCCCGCGTGGAGCGACGAAAGCGTGTGTACGGGCCTTCCCTTCCCCTTCGACGTGCATGGCGCAAGCACGCGCACGCGTGTTCTGAAGTCCGCGCGGGTCTCCGGGGTCGGCACAGGGCCCCCCCATTTTCCCCGGAACGTGCGGATCGCGCGGATCACGCCGACAGTCGGGAGCCCGGCGCGGATACGAGAACTCCGCGCGGAGCTCCGACAGTCTGTGCTGATGCAAATTGCTGCTGTTCGATCTCCCCCTGAACAACTGCACGACCGTCGGGAAAAGAGTACGACGTCCAGCACCAAAAGCTCTTCAACACCGACAGCCGCCGCTCTTGGGCAGGGGACTGTTTGTCTCATGTGGACAACGTGCGCGGCGATACCGTCAGCGAATCCAATCTAAATTGACAAAATCTGTCGTTGGCCTTCGCACGCGGCATTTCAGTGCTATGTCTTATGAAGAAAATCACGGAGTCATCGTGACGCAACTTGTGACACAATCTATCGGGTTCACGTCGGATTCAGTCGGTGTGCCGTCGGATTTACGTTGGCCTTACGTCGGAGCATCGACACGCGCACGCCATCTCATATCTTCATAACTTACGGGACAGACGTGCGGACCAGACCATGCAACAAATCATTGACCGCCGCGCGAGGCCTCCACGATTTCCTCATAGCCACTCCGAGACCCCCCAAAACGGAGTGGCGACACGCCGCGCAGTGGCCCGCACACCCCGAGACCTCGCCGCGTGGCCCGCCACCGCACGGTCTGTTCGGCCCCGGCCGCACGAGGCGTCCTCGGAAGAGGACCCGATGCCCCCGAAACCGTGTGGTGACCCCGAGCCCCCACCGCCCCACCACTCGGTGTGGCCACCATCCCGCTTGGGGGCCCTCGACATCTGAGCGACGAGCAAAAACGGGTCTTACGCGAGATGACGTGGAGACCTTACGCCAGCTCACGCGAGCCGCCGGCGCGGCACGCTGCACTGGAGCAGAGGGCGCCTGCGCGCGATCCGACGCCGGCCGGCTTACGCGCCAATATGTCGGCGCAGACGACCCCGTTTCCTCGCGTCGCTCAGCTGGGGGTTCTCGGGCCCGAACTCGGACCTCAGGCAGCCGTTCGGGACGATCCGGGCGGCCCCGGAACGCCCCTTCGGCGTGGCGCAGCTGCTTAGGGAGCCCACAAAGGACGTACGCGCCCAGCTATGTACATTAACACGGCCCCTCGATTCGCGAGACTGGCCGCGTTATACGAACATTTGTGCAATGCGTGCTCTCGAAACCAGCGTGGATTCATGTACATGTACGTCCTTCTTCGCTCCTGACCTGCTGGAGCGCACCCCGAGGCCGGCGGAGCGCCAATGAGCCGCCGACTCCGCCCTGACGCACCGCGCGGCGTGGTGCACCGCAGTGGGGGCCCGGGGCACTTCTCGGGTCGGGCGCAAGGGGGGGATATAGCAAAGGGGGAGGTTGAGAACCAGCTCACGTAGCTGATTTTCCCGGCGCCTCCTGGCGCCGGAGGCGGCCATGCATCGAGGAATGGGCCCCCCAGCGGGGCCGAAACCAGCTGCAGGCGGCAACTTTCGTAGCACCCCCTTTCCTAGGGGGAAAACAAACCTACCTCGCTTTTGCCCACCCTCGCTTCCAAGAGATACCAAGCGATGCCAAACTGCGGCCTGTACTGGTCAGGCCGCTTGACGAGGAGGCGCGTGGTATGGCCTGGTTTTGCCTGGAAGCGAAAGCGGGGTAGGTAATTCACGCTCTGATGTCCCTATATCCCCCCCTTTCGCGCGGCCCGAACCTCGGTCCCCACGGCCGACGTGGCCCCTGGGGTGGGACGACGGGAGGGGGCGGCGCGGGGCGGTCGGGGCCTTCGCCGCCCCTTTCCCTATCCCCCCCTTTCGCGCGGCCCGATACTTCGGTCCCCACGGCCGGCGTGGCCCCTGGGGTGGGACGACGGGAGGGGGCGGCGCGGGGCGGTCGGGGCCTTCGCCGCCGGTCGGCGCGTCGGCCTGGGGTGGCGGGGGCGGCCCGGGATGGCATCGGGCCTCGAGGTTTGTCCCCGAAGGGGCAGCTGCTGTAACCCCAGGAAGCATTTAAGACCCCCCCCCTCCGGCAAATCGATAACCCTTCCGCACCCTGGAAGCGTTACCTGGCACCAGGAGCCCTCCCTGTGTCCGCGTGCTAAAGCTATCGTTCGGTTATTTCGGCCCCTCGGAATATCGAATAAAAAATGCGGTGCTACGATATCGCCGGGGGGGTTCTTAAATGCTTCCTGGGGTTAAGGGGTAGAATTACCAGCCTCGAGCGTATCCCTATCCCTAAGATTGACACGCCAAAAGGCGATGACAATCTTAGGGATCCGCCCTTCAAAAAAAATGGAGTCCCTGAGACTGGCATCGTGACGAGGAGGTGCCCAGCATAGGGATAGGGATATGGTTCCAGGCTGGTAATAGAAGAGCGCCTACGAGCGGCGTTGGACAGACGGCGTGCCGCATCGATCTCCGAGGAGCGCGTTATCCCTGCAAGGCGATCCCCCCGCCAGGGCCCCTTCTGTGCGTGAACCCCATCCTGCCGGGGCTTTTTCGGTGCACGCTATCCCCAAGGTGGGAGATATCGTACAATGACCGGGCATGCGGCGCCACATCGCACGCTGTACTCGCAACGCCAGCAGCGAGCGCTTTTTAGGCCTAGCTAAAGCCAAACAAAACCAGGGATTGAGCCAGATAGGGCCAGATTGGGCGGGATTTGCCAGATGTGCCAACGCCGATGCTGAACTTCACCTCGCAGGAGTTGCAACCAAGCATCCCTGTCCCAACATCCCCCACCCCCCGCCTTGTGGAGAAGTCACGGCGGAAACCCTTTCGACATCTTCGGCATCTGGGGTCCATGCTGGGCCCTGGGCCAACGAAACACTGGCCCTGGGAGAAGGTCTGGATCTCCTGGACCCCCGAATTGACAAAATTAGCCTGGCGAAACACCCAACCATAAGGCAATTGTTAATACCGCAATTGTGGGCATCATCTTCGGTGGTGCTCCCTATGGGGCCACGAGCCGTGTGAGGGGTGCGCCACAATGGGGCGGGGCCGCCATGCGGACCCTGCCACTGGGGCCTTCGGTGGAGCTCCCTATGGGGCCACGAACCGTGTGAGGGGTGCGCCAAAATGGGGCGGGCCGCCATGCGGACCCTGCCACTGGGGCCTTCGGTGGAGCTCCCTATGGGGCCACGAACCGTGTGAGGGGTGCGCCAAAATGCGGGGCCGCCATGCGGACCCTGCCACTGGGGCCTTCGGTGGAGCTCCCTATGGGGCCACGAACCGTGTGAGGGGTGCGCCAAAATCGGGGCCGCCATGCGGACCCTGCCACTGGGGCCTTCGGTGGAGCTCCCTATGGGGCCACGAACCGTGTGAGGGGTGCGCCAAAATGCGGGGCCGCCATGCGGACCCTGCCACTGGGGCCTTCGGTGGAGCTCCCTATGGGGCCACGACCGTGTGAGGGGCGGGCCAAAATGGGGGGCCGCCATGCGGACCCTGCCACTGGGGCCTTCGGTGGAGCTCCCTATGGGGCCACGAACCGTGTGAGGGGTGCGCCAAAATGCGGGGCCGCCATGCGGACCCTGCTACTGGGGCCTTCGGTGGAGCTCCCTATGGGGCCACGAACCGTGTGAGGGGTGCGCCAAAATGCGGGGCCGCCATGCGGACCCTGCCACTGGGGCCTTCGGTGGAGCTCCCTATGGGGCCACGAGCCGTGTGAGGGGTGCGCCAAAATGCCGCCATGCGGACCCTGCCACTGGGGCCTTCGGTGGAGCTCCCTATGGGGCCACGGAACGCGTGAGGGATGTGCCGAAACAGAGACATGCGGAGGGCAGAGGCAAGGGGGAGGGAGGAGGGGGAGGAGGAGGAGGAGGAGAGGAGGAGGAGAAGGACGCGGGGCACCGTCTCTTCAAAACGAGGACCCAACACCACAGGATGGTTGGGAATCAAAACATCGGATCTCTGGGACTGACACGCCCCAAGGCGATGACAGTCTGGGGGGGTGCTCTCCAGAGCGAGGGAGGGCCGTTCAGATCGGCAACGAGACGGGTGACGCAAATCACGAGGAGGGGGATGTGCTTCATGCTGGTTAGCCGGGGCCATGAAAAGGGAAACGCGAGGCGAGAGGAAGGCATAAAAGAGGGGAGGAGGGGCGAGGAGGTGCTCCGTACTCCGGACCTTAGACGGTCCAGACTCGAGCGAAGCACCGGCTGCGACGGGGGCTGAGGTCTGCAGAGGCCTCTGGGTGCCTTGTGCAGAGGGTCGCGAGGGCGATCTGGGATGTGCTGGGTGGTTCTGGGGCCAGGGGGGCGGGCTGCTACGGGAGGGCGGAGAGAAGCGGAAGCAGGGAGGCGGAGAACCCGGCGCGCTCGCCTCCCCGGAATACAGAGCTGAAGGAGAGGTGCGGGCCACACGTGGTCGCCACAACAAGCATGCGCGGGGGCGGGCGGGCACGTGCTGCCTCAACGGGCGGAAGGACTCGGAGGAGGAGGCGAGATCCTCTCCGTGGCCAGAAAGAGGCGGCGCGCCCGCCAACAACAAAGGATCGCGGAGCGGGCGCCCGGGCGCGCCAGGCCTAACGAAGTGGCGCACTGAGGACCGAAGATGCCGGGAAACCCCAGACGCGCCCCCCGCAAACGGTTCTCTTCGGCTCCTCGGGGAGGCCTGGAATACCTCCTTCACAGTGGCAGCCCGGACAGCTCGCGCGTCCCCCAGAATTTTCGGTTCATCGGGGGGGGGGACCTTCACCGCTCGGCCCACAGAGAGAAGGGGCCTCCATCATGGCTGCACAGGCAGCTGCTGTGTCCCCGCGTTCCCCTGGGCGTGCGGCGACACAACCTGGCTGCGCAAGGAGGGCTCGGAGCTGCGGCGCGGCCCGTTTGCGACAGCAAATTCGCGGCGGCACGTCCAAGCAGGCCGCGCACGGCCGACCTGCGCGCGGCAATACAGACAAAGGCGCTCAGCAGAGGCGACAGTCGCGTCTACAGCCCCCGTCCGCCGCAGCTCAGAGGGCAACGTCGTCGTCTCACCCTGCTCCACGTGCTGGATGAGCCCGATGAGCTCCTCCGCAGCCTCCGCCCAGGCCGCCAAATGGCGGGATGGCCGCAGTCAGCGTGCGACCGAAGACGAGGATGTCGTGGGGAGCCCTGCCCTGCACGCGTATCGACTGAGGCCCGACCTTACAACAAACGCCCGCGAGGCCCAGGAAACGGCCGAAGAGCGCCATGGCGTGGCCGACTTACCGAGAACCGCCCGAGAAGTCCAGGAACACTGCGAGGAGGAGCGGCTTCACGCAGCTTGCTGGGACGACGTGGGCTACCAGCACGAGCCGCACGACAGAGGGCAATCAATTCCAGGCGGATCCGACTCCCAGTCTCGAGCAACGGTTGACAAGGACCTGCAGCGAGCCGAGCCTGCTGGAGCCCAGCAGGCGGAGGCGACGCAGCTGGCGTGCCTTGAAACGGCGGCGGCAAGACGCCATCTCCCTCCTCCCTCCTCCCTCCTCCCTCCTCCCTCCTCCCTCCTCCCTCCTCCCTGCAGCGCAAGGTACGGGCGCTGCATCACCAGGAGGTCCAGCAGGTTCGCGAAACCCGTCGGCTGGCCCACCATCTCCCCGAAGATCTCCGGGAGGACTCCAGCCCCCCAGCGCCGACGACGCGGCGTGCGCAGGCAGGCCGGAGACGACCGAGCAAGAGCCCAGCATACAAGGGCCCCAGAGCGCCGACTACAGTCGGGGCGTTGGCCTAAGGAACCCTAAATAAGGAACGAGGCCCCTTTTTTCCATGAGCTAAACTTCGATTTCCGATCGAAAACATAAGGAAAACAGGAGGCAAGCTGCGAAACACGTAAGGAGCACGGAGCCACTCCCCAACGAAAAGGGTTCCTTCTTCAGCGCCTCGACTCTATGCCCGGCGGGTCGATCAGCAACGCGCCATTCAGGGCTGCCGCCGAAGAGCCCAGCGCGCGAGCGGCGGAGGGCCATCGGCCGCACGCGGAGCCCCGCCCCTGCTCCGGCACGTCGTGCGCAGAAGCAACGACCAAACAAAAAACAGCACGAGCGTAAACTCGTGGCGCTCAGCGCGGACTTCTTGGGTCTGCGCTGGACCCTCTCCCTGGCGCGCGGAGCGCGCCTGGCTGCGGCCGCGCTTGAGCCACCCCTGGGGTCAAAGTGGCTACGGAAGGGGCCTGCAGGAGAAGAGGGAGGAGGGGGATGATTAACCAAGAAAGGACCCCTAACCCTTTGGGAGAGGACCTATGTCAGGAGAGCCTGGAACATCAGTGATAGGGGGCCTTTTTTTCCTGAAGATTCATCGAACCAAACCGCCCAGAAGTATTATCCGAGGCCACGTCATCATCGGGTTATTACGGTTAAGGTCTCTCTTCTTCTCCATGAGAAGAAGGGGGAGGTGAAGGAGGAGGGGGAGGGCAGGCGGTGCACACTCCGCGGGAAGGTGGGCCCCACCCCACGGAAATCTCCGCACGCTCCCCCCTCTCGCTCTCCCTCCACAGACTCCCCCGCGACCAGCCGCAACGGGCCGTCACCGCGGCAGGGCCGCGCGTGGGCGGTGCCGCCACCGCAGGCGGGGCGCCGCCCTGCGGCCCCGGGCGCGAGCAAACGGCGGGCGACCGCCCGCTCTCCCCCCTTTTCCACAGCGGCCCACCGAGGCCAAGCCCCCTTGCAAGCACTTCCACCAGCCCAGGCATGGGGCGCGCAAAGACGTACCAGCACTCGATGTTCTCAGTGGAGATGCGCGTGCGACCCCGGCGTGCAGTGTGCCCATCATCCAGTACACCGTTTCCCGAGAAGTGTGGCCAGAAAGCGCCCGCCTCGACGCACATACTATGATATGTCTCGGTGCGCGCGTCGCCCCTGGGGGGGGGGGCGACGCACACATGGTATTATTAGCTTGGGCGCCCGAAATGGGTACGGATAAAATGGCACAATGCCCAACAACGAGTGCTGTCCCAAACCACCAGCG